TTTTTTTTTTTTTTTTTTTTTTTTTTTGTGATACGTGGGCCTCTCACTGTCGTGGCCTCTCCCGTTGCCGGACGCGCAAGCTCAGCGGCCATGGCTCACGGGCCCAGCCGCTCCGCGGCACGCGGGATCTACCCGGACCGGGGCAGGAACCCGTATCCCCCGCATCGGCAGGCGGACTCCCAACCACTGCGCCACCAGGGAGGCCCGAGGACAAGTAACTTTTAAACAGGATAAGTGGTCTAGCTGAGGGACCCAGCCTGAAAAGGGGCAGCTGCATCATCTGAAACACTGGTTATACCTTGTAACAATTACTAACGAATGATTTTCAAAACCATTGTAAATGCAAGTAGAATGTTTCACGAACCATAGCATAATAGGCATGGAGTATTTCCACCCTTAGTGTTGGCTCCCTGGATCTGCTGTGCTTATCCATTGTGGAACAGAAGGACCCATACTTCTCAGGGTTGGGTAGGGATTTTGTGTCTGTTTATTATATACTTTAAAGTTTTAATTGTACGAGCAAGCACTCTTACTAAATGACGATTTACTGATCAGTTATGTTTATTATCAAACACCGTCTTAAATCAGCATGTCAGAAATAGTCCTTAAAGATACCCTGAGTCATAAGTAATATCAGGTAAGAGTAACCTTGTTCCACAGTGATTATTGAACCGTTCCGTGGCTTTGAGACAGTCTGCTGAGCATGTCACCTCACAGTTTTACTGCTTTAGTTTATGTACGGGATTAACGTTTTAGAATATAGGACTTCTTAATTCACTGGAATAGGCTTGGGCTTGTTTATTACTTCATTTACAAATCCTACATTTATGAGGCAGCTTAAACAAATTAGTGGTTAAAGCCTGTTACGGGTTATCCTATGCAATAATATGGTAGTGGAGAGAAAAATGGTTCCTGCGAAGCAGGAATAACCATCTGTGGCTTGCTCTGGAAGGTTCAGAACTTAATATAGAGAGTTCTGTGTGACATAGATTTTTTTTTTTTTTTTTTTTTTTTTAGAATTAAGTCTGTAGTATATTCTTTCCTGCCGGCCTTTCTTCTCTTCTGTATCCTTGCCCCAGTTTTTCCAAAGCCTGTGGCTATGCCCAGAAGCGTTTCTCCACAGTGTTCCCACTCAGGAACAAAGACCGGTAAAAGTGAGTGGCTTTCTTTCCCCAGGAGGTTTTATCGTGTTGTTCTTTGCTGTCAGTAAAGAGCTTGGCCAGGTTAGGCAACATTTTTAATGACAAGTAGTTTGGTGATTCAATTAAGAAAAACGAGAAGCTGTTTTTACAGTGTAAAGGCTGTTTTCTCACAGCTCACACACTCCTTGTCTCCCAGGATGTTATTCCCTGTTTGTTTAGTGCAGAGCTTGATTACAGGGTGATAATTGAGGGTAAAAATCCCTTTCTTATTCTCCCCTCTGCTCCCCCTCTTCCGACTCCTTTTAAGTTAAATTAGCAGAGGCAATGACATACGAACACTGGTTCCACAGTAAATCATCGTTTTGTGCCAGTGGGTTTGTGAGAGTGGTTTTGTGGGATGTGTGTTGCGGCTGTGGCTGCCTGTGTTTGTGTGTAAGGGGGATCGTGTGTACGCCTGTGTGTGCTGGAGAAACGCGTGGGCTTTGTAGCCAGATATTGCATTAGCCACACGTGGCTCCTGTATTGGACAGGGCAGATAGAGGGCATTGCAGACAGTCCTCTTTGACAGTGCTGGTTCAGTCACTTCATGACTTTGTAAGATGGAATAAATAGCGGCCATTTTGCTGGATCTTCTGAGAGTTAAATGCTCTGCATACATTTCAAGCACAGTGTCTAGTACTTAGTAGATGTTCACTCTCTGACTTTTGTCTCATTAATAGCAGTCACATTCTGAACGATATGTGTTGAAGAATCTTGGTCCTTTTGCTTTTAGTGAAGCTGCATTGTTGCCCGTTGGGGCATGTCACACTTAGGCGCAAAGTGTGAAAGTATCAACGATATATCACTGCTCTACCTGCCAGGTGGGAATGAAATACCAAAGTCACGCAAATTGCAGGGTGTCACTCCCCTGGCACAGCTGCCCTTGCATGACCATTTTCTAGCTACCCAGTAGTGTAGGTAGATGTTGTCTTGACCTCTTGGGGAATCTCAGTGAACCTTGATCTAGACCGTTACATCTGAAAAGTAATATGTACTTTAGTTTGGGTATGAAAAACTTCCCCAACTATTAGTTTAATCTTTCTTGTTCTTTTAGAGATGGTCTCTAGATGAAACAGAGCTTAAAAACAAAGTGACGGCAAGCTAAATTTCTCTCAGTGATGCCACCCTGCATGTTTGCTGTTTTACATTTAATGAAAGGCAAGGCTAAATGCTGGTTTATCTTGTTAGTTGGCTGGTGACCGCTAAAACCCCTAAATGGCCACATAGTGTAAATAACAGTTTTTGATCAAGTAAGATTTTCTTTGCATTTTGCCCTACCGCTTACCTGGTAATTTTGCAAGTGTCACGTTGAGCCCCATTCTTTAGTTCTGAGGGACTGTAAGCAAAAATACGTGTCAGGAAACACTCGGGGACGATTGAGGCAAGGGCTCAGCATAGGTTATTCCTGGTTTGATTTCTGGGGGCCGGGGTGCGGGGGAGAGAAACAGTTAGGCAGGAATTTAAACACACAGTATTTCGATCTTTACTTTTAAAAAAAGAAAAAAAAAAAGATATCCCCACGATTCAGAAAAGGCTTATTCTTTGGATAGGAACGACTGTGCCACATAAGAATTGTCTGTTTTTCTGTGCTCTTTCAGTGTGCCAGGAAGCGTGGACCGTTTCTGTGTACGCTCTCTCCATCTGAATGCCACTGTGTGGCCCTGGGAAAGTTACTTAACATCTCTGTGACTGAGTGTCCTCATCTCTGAAATGAGAATAATAGCAACCATACAACAGGATTGTGATAAGGATTATGTGACATAGTCCATAAGGCGCCTGTCAGAACCTAGGTCAAAGAATGTGCTCAGGACGTATTAGCCTATGCCTTGCCACCCTGCTCCTGCCTCACTCTACATGCCCCAGCCCCTAACCTCAGCACATGTACTTACATACATGTATGAAGAGACGTTTTAACAATCTCCAATTATATATAAATTAAGAGATCTAGCACTGATATATGTACAGAGTGTTTTATAAGCTCAAATATATTCAGCATCCAATCATTCCTGTAATCTCTAGGGTTCTAGTTTTGGCTTTACACTAACCAGCTGTGTGACCTTCATCGTCACCCGACCTTTTTGGAATTTCGGACTGAAGGCCCTAAAAAAAATCCCTGTCGGGACTCAGATTTATGCGGGCTCCTACGTTTTCCTCAAACGTAGGTTCCCATTAAGAATGTATTACCATTTGAACGTTTGTCTCGTAAGTCCCTGTATTTCTCTGTGCTAACTGGATGCCATCCAACCTCAAAGTTTGGCTAGGAGTGAATCATTAAATTAGCTTTGAGTGACTGGTGTGTGATTTTGGCTAAAGTACCCTAACTTTTCTGAGCTTCAGATTCCTCACAACCTTTTTATCAGGATTACCTGAGACCATATGTGCACGTGACGTTGCTTTGAATGCTCTAGGACAGCTCCCCCCAGTCCTCCTTGAGCAGCCTTCTCTGTGTCTAGTCCCTGTTTTCTGACTTTCCTCAGGTGTCGATCAAAGAGAGAAGAAATCCTGGGCACTGTTTTCATAAGTGTGCTGCTGAAGCCAGATGTGTTTTGGGAACGGTTCACTGTAGGGAAGTCGCACTGTTTCTCATGAAATGAAACCATGTGAGGCCTTCGTGTCCCCTCACTGATATTGCTTCTGTACCACACAGCTGCAGAGAGCCCTCAAGTAAGCTCGTCCCCTCCAAGTACAAGGCAATCTTCTGGTTGCATCAGCAGTTGCATCTGCCGAGTCAGCAGGGAGAGAGCACTTTGGAGGCAAAAGTATATTTAAGAATTGGGCCGCAAGTGGAGAGGCACGTGTTTCTTTCTCTGTCACTCTGTCCTTCTGCTCCCTAGTAACACGTGAAGTTCAGGGGCTGGATTTGGTAGTAGATGGAAAAAGTGGTGTCCGGGCTTCCCTGGTGGCGCGGTGGTTGAGAGTCCGCCTGCCGGTGCACGGGACGCGGGTTCGTGCCCCGGTCCGGGAAGATCCCACATGCCGCGGAGCAGCTACGCCCGTGAGCCATGGCCGCTGAGGCTGCACGTCCGGAGCCTGTGCTCCGCAACGGGAGAGGCCACAACAGTGAGAGGCCCGCCTACCGCCCCCCCCAAAAAAATTCTTTCTTCAAAAAACTTACCGCGGGGCTTCCCTGGTGGCGCAGTGGTTGAGAGTCCGCCTGCCGATGCGGGGGACGCGGGTTCGTGCCCCGGTCCGGGAAGATCCCACATGCCGCGGAGCGGCTGGGCCCGTGAGCCATGGCCGCTGAGCCTGCGCGTCCGGAGCCTGTGCTCCGCAACGAGAGAGGCCGCAACAGTGAGAGGCCCGCGTACCGCCAAAAAAAAAAAAAAAAAAAAATGGCGTCCGAATTTTCAGTGATTTCCTCCCCTCCACCAATCATCTCTTTTGAGAGTTTAGAAGCCCTGTCCATGCCTCTCACCTTGAATCGCTAGGGTAGGTGGTATATAGTGGGTGGTCAAAAGGTATCCATTGGTTAATGGATCATAGACAACGATTAGGGCTCTTAGACTCCCGCCTTTTTGAGTGTCAGTGTTGCCGTGTTTTTAAAGTAAGGCAAGGAGGTAAAACCCTACTTTTTTTTTCCCCCACTCATTAAAGTTTACTGGGATTGAGGCAGTTTTCTAAACTTCATAATAATGACCTTTGGATTTCAGCAAACCTTATTTTCTTGAATCCAACTTCTCATGGAAACATTTCAAGGAGTTTACATGAAAGACATCTCTAATTTTCTGTTCCTCTGTGGGCAAGTTATGTGGTTTTCCATCTTTTTGCCTTCACTTATACCTTACTTGATAACAGGAAATCCAGTATGGCTTATCCACGCTGGAGGAAAAGCAGTGTCTAGAAGTGGGTGAGCCACGGCAGCAGTAAGAGATAGCAGACAGCCATTAAGGAGAACACGGAAAAGTCTGGGAGAAAATATTTTCATATCATGTTTCTGATGAAGGATTAAATTCAGGACATACAGAGAACTTCTACAACTTCCTAATAAGAAAACAGCCCAACTAAAAAGTGGTCTAAAGATTTGTATAGACATTTTACCAAAAGCACATGAAAAAATGCTCAATTATCATTAGTCATTGGGGGAATTCAAATAGAAAACACGGTGAGACACTATTTCACATCAACCAGAATGGCTCTAAATAAAAAAGACAATTAGAAATGTCACCGAGGATATGGAGAGATAGGAACCCTTGTACACCGCAGGTGGGAATTTAAAATCATATGGCCACTTTGAAAACAGTTTGGTAGTTTCTTAAAAAGTTTCACCTAAATTTATCTTATGACCCAACAATTCCACTCATAGGTATCTACTCAAGAGAAATGGAAACATAGACCTATGCAAAGACTTACATCCAAGTAGCATATAAGTTTTAGTAGCATTATTCATAATAGCTAAGAGTTGAATCAACCCAAATGTCAACTGATGAATGGATAAACCAAAGATAGTAAAGTCACATAATGGAATACTACTCAGCAGGGAAAGAAGCCAGATACAAAATACCACTGAGATGAAATGTCTAGAAGAGGCAAATCTATAGTGGTGGAAAGTAGATTAGGGCTAGGGGTGGGAGTGGAGATTAACTGTAAGGGTATGAAGGGTTTTATTAGGGTGATAAAAACTGGATTATGATGATGGTTGCACAGCTCTATAAATTAAAAATCATTGAATTGTACATTTAAAATGGATGAAAATTATGGTATGTAAATTATATTTGAAGTTAAAAAGGAACAAATAGTGTACAGAAAAGGAATAGATACAAGCTAGCAGCTCACTGTGCAATAATGGATGAGTTTTCAAGGCCAGGGAAAAGTACCTAATAAGCACATTCCCTATCACCTCTTGAAGAAGATAGTGAAATGCAAAATATGTTTAGCAAGAGTTTCCACCCCTTGAAGTAGGTGAGGGGCACTGCTTAGTGATCTGGATGATTCATTTATGGGTTTCTTCTTTTAGAATTCTGTTCAAAGTCCAGAGACCCTGGCTGTGGGTGATTATTTGTACTTTGGGGGCATCCATACTCCCATTTTCTTAATTCCTACTGAAACTATGTGGGAGAGTTGGGTTTTAATTAGTTCAGACATGATATTTAGATTTTTCTGGAGTCAAATTTGTTTTCCAGGTTTGGGAAAAGAGATGTTTTATTCTCCTCAGCTGGCTTATGAGAGTATCCTCTTGCCTCCTTCGTCTCTTATACTACCTTCTCTAGATGAAATGCTTCCCCTAATTTAGGCCACGGCTCCTCATTTTTGCATTTTCTTTTTCTCACGAGCGTTCGTGTCTCCTCGGATGGTCGGCCATCACCTCTCTTCTATAATCTTCCCTTCCCCAGACTTCAGTCCACTGTGTACGGTGGAGTGTGTCGTCTGTCTGTGTTCCTCAAACCCAGCATTTCTAAACTTGAACTGTCTTTCCTTTCTTTGGCACAAATCATTTCCCTTTCATCCCTGTGTATGAATATTTGGTTCATCTCTTAGTCGAGAGAGTTTAAGACCTCGGTACTGGACTGGATCTTTCTCTCTTCCTTGCCGCCATCTAGTCAGTCACTTATCTAGTCTTTCTACTTCTTCTGTTACAGTATCATTCCTTTGTTTCTGTCCTCACCTTGCTCCTCCCAGTCATCTTCCAGATCCAGGCCCTCCTAGTGTCACGTGTGGCCCTGTACTGACCTCCTCTCTGGTCTTCCTGCTTCTTGCTTCTCTCCTCTTGAAGCTGTCCTGCTTCTTGTTGCTAGATTCTTCTTTCTAAATTACCCATGTCGTCATGTTCTCTAACCTTGAGTATGATAAGACAGGGAATTTCTTGAATTACAGTTACTAATGAAATATAAGGAGTTTTTTTTTTTTTTTTTTTTTTTTTTTTTTTTTCCTATTGGAGATCATGGAGTGTGGAAACCACAAGATGCTGGGTTCTGATAATTAAAAGTGGAGCCTGTGCTCCGCAACGGGAGAGGCCACAGCAGTGAGAGGCCCGCGTACCGCAAAAAAAAAAAAAAAAAAAAAAGTTTTTTTTTTTTTTTTTTTTTTTTTTTTTTTTTTTTTCCTATTGGAGATCATGGAGTGTGGAAACCACAAGATGCTGGGTTCTGATAATTAAAAGTTGGCACTCAACTTTGGGGGAAATCTTCTTGTCCCATAATTAATCCTCTGAATCAGATGACAATAATACTTACTCTATAGAATCATTATGAGGTTAAGTTAGAAGATATGTTCATGAATTACGTGCTTTGTGAACGTAGTTTTTTGCCTGTGTTATTTCCACTAATCCTTGCCTACGTGGAATTCAAGATCATTTTCATCTGATCGGGGATTCTCTCCGTTAACCTAACTGTTGCCTCTCAGGGGCGTGCCTTGTGTTTAGCCCCCCATTTTTCTTCATACCCATT